TTCTGCGCTGCTCAGAATTACCTCTACAATCGCCATCTCAGAACACACACTACTCTCTCACACCACACACGCAATGCGGTAACACTATTTATGAATCCTCTGAAATGGGAGGGGGGTCACCTCACATTCAGTAGCGTGGACCACACTAATTCTGAATCCACACTATATTTCAATCCACACTAAATGTGGTTGACGGTGTAGTTGTAAGAAATTCGAATTAACAGTCCGCGAGAGCATCGAGGGGGCTCTGAGAATTTTTGAAAATTGATAATAATATTACAGGGGCTACATTTCAATGCTGAATTTGGCAAAATGCAATATCTAGAAAGATATTACTTCATACGAGGAATACAACTAATGGAGGTATTTCTTGCTAATCATCGCCATCACTGTCACATGCGCTTGAGGACGACATGCCGTCATCAGAGGATGTGTCGCACTCATTTTCATGGCGATTTTGGTCTGAACCTTCCGATTCAGCATCCCGTAGAGCACGATCAAGTCTGAATAGCTTTTCTGTCGACGAAGCTATGGTGTTGTGGATGACTTCTGTGTCCAACTCGTGAAAGGCTTCGTCTAGACGATCTCGTACATCTTGAAATGTTGTTGTTGAGGTATAGGCACGTCCCACCGATCCCTTGACGTTTGCCCACACCATCTCGATAGGCTGCAGCTCAGAAAACCCGGGGGCAGAGTAGACAACATGATGTCCCCGAGCTTTGGCCATTTCGACAACAACAGGAAGGACGTGTTCGCCCAAGTGTGTCAATTTTCGTCGGTGCCCTTGAAACTGGTGGGAAACGATCCGCCCAATCAAGGCGGTCATTTTGGCAGTTATTTCATCGAAATAGGCCAAGAAATGACGGAAATAGATCAAGTTGAGTGATTTTTGGTATGTTTTGTGCATGTATTTTGATGGATGATGAAAAGTCAAATATAGAAATGGAAGGGTTTCTCCAATTCGCGATATTTTTTTCTTCCATCTTTCCAACAGCACTTAGGGCTCGTCTGGCAACATCCGGAAAATGACATTTTGGGCCGGATTTTACCATTTTGGGGCCGAAAATCCCATTTTCAGGCAAAACGCCATTTTGAAATTGGGAGCGAACGTGTCTGGTAAAAGCTGGGACCAACTTCAATTTATGGCATTTTTGCGTCAAAAGGTCATTTTAAAGATGGACATCAGAGGTCCATTTTGTAACCGCCAACTCCATTTCGCGCGCTTTTGCTTCAATGGCGACGATCGCAACCCTTGTCGGATGCGCTGCGTGGTGGGCCGTAAACCACGTGATCAAAGAGCCCTGCCACACACACGTCTGCTCTCAAAGGAGAGCAATGGGTCGATGAGCTGCTGACGGGGAACCCCAGGCGCTTTCTCAACTTTCGCAACCAGCTGCGTATGCTGCCAAGCACGTTCAACTCTCTGCTGGCGGCTCTGCAGAGCAAGTACTCCCTGTCGTCAAGTCGCTATGTGTCGGCCAAGGAAAAGTTGGCTACCTTTCTCTTCGTTGCAGGTCGAGCGGCTTCGAATCGTGAGGCGCAAGAACGGTTCCAACGCAGTGGATGGACCATCACTCAGTCCATTCACGAAGTACAAATCCTGCATTGATTGTTGCTGATATCTATGACCTAGGTGATTGCTTCGTTGTTGCTACTATACCCCGTTGTGGTCACCCTTCCAAGCAAAGACATTCCGTACGAAATCCATTCAAACCCAAAGATGACCCGTTCTTCGAACACTGCGTTGGCGCATTGGATGGGTCGCAGATTCGAGCAACCCCTCCACCCGGATTTGCAAAGCCATTTCGCAACCGCAAGGGATACGTCAGCCAAAACGTGCTTGCGGCCTGCTCGTTCGATTTGCGATTCGTCTACATGCTT